TATCCTAACTTTTTATGCAAAACAAAACACAGAAATTATTCTGAAGCGAAATTTTATAAAAATGTGTTGGTGAATTTTGAATTTGTATATTTTGACAATAATCACCTCTCAAACATGAGTTCATGTTATTGACCATATGTACATCGCCATATGAAAAATGCCATTAGAAATTCAGTATATTATATTATCATACTAGAAACTAAATATGACAAGTTTAACAATATTAGGATTCCTAATAATAATGCTTTAATGCAACAGAGAAAGATTTCTAAATATGGGAACATGCAATCATCATAGAACAATTGATATAAATTGCCACATCCTGGAAATCTAAATTTTTCTAATCACTAACGCCAAACATCATCTGTTGACACAGGCATGACATATGGCTCTGAGATTAAAAAGCACATACTGTAGAATACTTTATTTTCGCTTGGAATTTATTTTCGCTAAAGACATGATACCGTGAAAATAAAATCCAGCGAATATACTTTTTTTCCTATATTTTACATTAAACTCATCAAAAATCAGTGAAAATAAATTCCAAGCAAAACGCCCAAAAAGCCTTTTCAGTGAAAATTAATTCCAGCGAAAATAAAGTATTCCACAGTAATAAAATTTGGAAGCTGCAAGTCCGATGAACAAGTTTATTTTTGATCTAAACAATTAGATGTGTAGAAATAATATTATACAAAACAGAAATCAGAAAAAGAATAATAACAATTCTAAGAACATGAGAGTCAACAAACAAATGAATGACAAACATTACTATATATACACCGGTAGAATCACTAAGGGGTGATCCATTAGAAAATACTGAGGGGGGGGGGGCGCGATGGCAGAAAATTTGTGCTCAATATTATCCACATACACACAAAAGTTGGAGACGAAGAATTTTGTTTTCGCCAACAAGTTTATACTGTAAAATGACTAATTTTCACTGGGTTAAAATTTCGCTGATTTACCATTTCAGACATATTCAGTGGGTTTTAGATTCAGTTTTATCATTTAGATAATGTGTTCTATGCTAAATTTTATATATTCACTGGGTTTTAATTTAGTGCATTTTTCAGTCAGCGAAATAAGCAAAATTACAACCCAGTGAATAATTAACCCTTCTACAGTACTCGTCTTAAAGTAGAGATGCAGTTTACCTGACAGGTATTTTAATTAGTTAATTAGGAAACCAAGATGACCTCCCTTGTCCACAAAACTATATATTTTTGGAGAGCTTATTGTATGAATTTTGAAGTTCTGTTTTTATGGACACTGTAGTTTGAAATATGCACAAAAATGTGCTTTTTTTGGTCAAAAGCGATGTAAAAAAAATAGCTTCTAAACCATGCTTCTGTTTCCTGTCAAAATTGGTTTATGGGTACATCTGTTTACTATGAAGAAAGCGTCGTCTTGAAAACTGTCTACCAGTTGTCAATTTTGCAGGGAGCAGCTCAAATTTCACTACTTCAAGTTTATGCATAAATTAACACCCAGGATAGTTGTCTGTACGATTGTTGTAACACTGTTCAACCTAAAACAATGCCCCACGGCGTTTTGAAGA